ATAATCACAATAAATGTTTAAATATTTTTAATTAGATTACATCAATTCATCAAGCTATTAAAAATAATTTTTACCATATTGTAAAGTTTTTCTGTTAAGATCATTTAAATTAAAACTGAATATAAAAATCTCCACAGGAAAATGCTGGAAAATATTTGAAAAATCCTCCAAATGCATAAAATAGCCTACCTGCTCCTAATTTTCCCAATATATATCTATGTATAACCATATATATATATATATATATATATATATATATATATATGAGAAAATAGTATATCAGTTTTTATATACAAGAACAATGTTAGGGAAATTAAAGATGTTAAATCACTTTACACAAACATTCCTTTTAACAAATGCTTAAATCTTTTACAAAAGCAGCTAACACAATCAAAAATAAACCTCTCTCCACCAAAAGCTAAAATGATAAAAATCTGCCAACTCATCACTAATTAATGGTATTTTACTTTTAACAATAATTTTTATAGACAAAAATTTGGATCATTAATGAACTGTGTGTGTGGGGGGGGGTAGCATGTATTTTCTTAGAATTTCTTGAATCTGGTTCTTTTCCAGAATATTTTACCTAAACAATCAAACTGCATTACCTGACCTTGTAGATAAACTAAAGAAATTCAAACATAAAGCAGAATTCACTTATGAAACAGAAACAAATAACACTTTATCTTTCTTAGATATGATGTTACACCATACTAACAATGATCTAAAACTAAATGTCTATTTCAAATCAACTAATAAAAATAACCTCATAAATTTCTAATCTCACCAGAGCAACAAAATAAAATCCACAGTGATTATCGGATTCTATTTAAGAGCCCTCAGAATTTGTAGCCTTCAGTATTTATATGAAGAGGAGAAAGATCTTTCAATATCTTAATTATTTCATATTTAATGTGAAATAAAAGAGACTCATAAAATATTTCAAAATAGAAGAGTGGATCATTTTGTCAAACCTAACAAATCAAAATATATTTTATTCTACTGCTAATTCTATCACAACTACAAAGAATTTATCTATGGTTAACATAACATTTGTTACAACAACTTCTGAAACAATAAAAGATTTAATGAATACAAAACATAATAATAATAATAATAATAATAAGCAAAATTTGAAGTGGGGGTTTACTCTATCACATGTAATAATTTCCACAAAGAATGTATAGTAGAAACCTCAAGGAAATTAAATAAAAGATTCTATGAACAGAAAAGGGAACTTTTACAAAACAACACACTCAGTTGCTCACCATAATGAGTCTTACCATAATTTTGATTTAAAAAATTCTTCCTTAATTAAAAGAGAAAACAATTTACTAAGGCAAAAGCATATAGAAAGTGCTTTAATCATTAAATCATCTCCAGTAAATTTCTTTCCAGATTCTTACAATATTTCACCTGTCTTGGCAGATCTTCTAATATCGCAATAACAAAAGTGATAAAAACATAAACAAAAAGAAACTAAATGAAATTGGCTAGACTCTTTACCCAAAATTCATATTAAATCTAAATTTGAAAGTTTAAAATTTCAGCATTCCCTCCCATTTATGTGTATGTGTAGTCACATCAGCATAAACAACAATTTAGTCCAATGAAGTCCTAAAGGACAAAATGTATCACACAAAAAATCTTTTCTACTTTGTCATTAATTTTCCTAATACATATATATATATATATATATATATATATATTAGGAAATTATATATATATAATTTAATTATATATATATTAGGAAATTATATATATATTAGGAAATTATATATATATAATTTAATTATATATATATTAGGAAATTATATATATATTAGGAAATTATATATATATAATTTAATTATATATATATTAGGAAATTATATATATATTAGGAAATATATATATATATATATATATATATATATATATATATTTGGAAATTATGTATATATATAATTTAATTATATATATATTATATATACATATATATATATTATATATATTAGGATTATATATATAATTGACGATACAACTATCCTACACCATGAAAACAACAAATTCAGATTACAGATACTAGAAGCAATTTATATTAAAAAATTAAAGCCAGCACTGAACAGAATCAACTATGAATGCTGTAGTAATGTTCTGAAATGCCTGTAAAGGAACAGTTTTTTCATGCTTTAATGTATGCATGACATTATAACATGAAAAGAAAATTCCATAATGGATAATTTTTCATGTTCTAATGAACGCTCAGCACATTCTCAACCATTTTGCATTTAAAAGCATAATGAAAAAAAATACAGTAATGGATAACAATGCACAGCTTTGTATAAATACTTGTACTAATGAACAACATATAGATTTTTACTACTTGCACCCCTGATGATGATCTTGGAAGAAGATCAAAAATACTTGGGAAATGAAAATAAAAGAAATTTAAACAGTTATAGCACATTTCTCTCATCCTTTAATATCAATATATGTAAGGTTTTTTGTGAATATAAACGGATTTTGCTAAAAATGAGCAGACATAATGTCTGTAATTTAGTCAATCAGACATGCCTAAAAGAGAATTTGCTGCCTAAATAGACAAATATAGATAGATAGATAGATAGATAGATAGACAGACTGTCCCGTGACTTTTTGATGTATGAGGGTCCAGCTGCTCAGTTCTTAGAACCGAACAGCAAGACTACCAGCACATATGTTTTGATTATAGTGGTGAAGGCATTGTGCAAAATGGGTCATATGTTTGGAGGAGACAAATACAGAGAACTGGTGCACAGGTCCTCTTCAGTGTTTGAATTGTTGTTCTTCTAGACCAGTTGCCACCTAGGGACCTAGTCTGTCTTGCTATTTACACATAGCTGTGGGCAGAAGAGATATATTCATACCTTTCCCAAGGGTATTTGCATGTAAATAAATGTAATGAATTCAACTGGAATTTGAACTTTGTTCTCCATTTCCTCAATCTGAGCCACTATCCATTACTACGTTTTTATAGTCCTGTAAATGTAGAGTCATGAGACACTACATATACAGGACTATAAAAACGTTAAAAAATTAAAAGGAAGTGTTTTAATTTATAAACTCCTTTTATTTAAAACATATAAATTAATCCCAAAGTAAAATAATATAAATATTAATTACATTACATAAAAAATTCAAATCAACATTATTTACTCATTTTTGTTTATTAGACATTAAATTATGTCACTTAGCATCCTCCATAATTTGCCAGGAATTTTCAATTAGCCTGATGAATATTTATGATTTAATAATTTTGAAAAATAACATTTTTACTTGTGTTAATGAATACTTGTTGTCAAATAAAATCCTTCCAGATGCCTTGATAAAGTCCCTCAGAAGACAAAATGCATCGGCTAAGATAATATTTACTTTTGCCTTTATTCATATTGCCCTTTTACAGATATATTTTAAATTATATCTGAAATTTTGCACACACACACACACACACACACACACACACACACATATATATATATATATATATATATATATATATATATCATATAATTAAATTAAGATACCATTAGTGAATGATCATTTTCACCTGCAAATTTTAAATCTAAAATTCATAGGAGTCCTCTTCAACAAACTGACACCATAAACAGTTTGAAAAATCCTATGAATTTTAAATTCTAAATTTTAAATTCGTGGGTGAAAATGATCATTCACTAATGGTATCTTAATCCAAATTGGTTGAAATATTTTGCTTTGTTTAATGAAAATAAACATTGAGTGCTCTTTGTGAGGCAGTTTTAACATTTAATATTTAATATTTAATATTCGATATTGTATTAATAGGACTCACTCAGATTATACCAATGGATTACTACCTGTATATATATATTTTTAATCGGTATTACCCCATGCAAGGCAGTAAAGCCACTAAGACATAAGGGATTACAGGGAATGAAAGAATTAAGAACAGAAACATTAATAATAATGAGCAAAAGAGTCATCATGAGGACAATAGATAGTGAATTTAGGCAGTAAGAATTCATATATTATATTCTAACTTGGGCTTGTAAAAATTTCAAAGGGATAACTTTTATTCTTGTAATTATTTATATATATATATACATGGACACATATATACTATCCAAAGGCATACACACATGCACTGACATGTAATGAATTGTACTATATATATATATATATATATATATATATATATATATAAACTGGTTACCTTATCAGTCATGTGTTCACCACAACTTTATGTCTTTTGTTGATCTATGACTCTTTTTTGAGCCTTTAATATCCTTCTTTTTCATTGTTTTGCTCTCCATTCATTCAAACTTGTTAAGTATTTTACTTATTATACCTCCAGCTTCTCTTGCGATCAGTATCTCCAGTAAGTGGTAAATTCTCTATGCCTCCTTTCCTCATTAAATGTCTCCCAAATTTTAGCAATCACTGTAGTTTCTATATTTCTTAAAACTTCCTTGTTGCTCAAATGTTCAATTCATGTTACTTTCAGCATCCTTTTGTAGAACCACATCTCTTTTACCTCACCTCCCCTTCATCTGCATAGATATTGTTCCTCATTCATTACAATATAGGAGGGTTAGATATTACATAGCAGTGCAGCACTTTTTATTTTGTATCTTTATTCAGTTTTCTAACTCTTAATGTTTAACAGAACAAAAATTGATCAAAATATGAAAAGAGACCTTCTTTAGCTAAATTCTTATTTACTCTATAAAAAAATAATGTGTGTGTGCTTGTAATAAAGTAAGATCTATACATTTCATTATTTAAATATTCATTAGAAAAAAATTGGAGATGAAGATTATTAAAATTTACCTTTCATGGTAAGTAACAAATTCTTTATTTATGGCAAGTTAGGATTTAAAATTCTTATTTAAATCTGCCAATTTATCAATATATTTATAAGAGAAGCAATATCATAGTTTTTGTTTTCTCTTGGGTTCTTTTCATTGTGTATAAAATTATTTTTTATTTCTTTGTATTTTCAGCCACAATTCATTCATTTGGCTCAGCTGTGGAGTGGTTTGCAAGATGAAATGGTTCTTTTGAGTGTTCTGAGCAATATCACAGCTAACCTGTCTCCATTCTCTCAAGTGAGTCCATTTTATTTTAGCAGATCTGACTCAACTAATCACACACACACAAATTCTGTTATGTCAGTCTAACAGCTCAGTTTCTCCTTTTGACTTTTCCTCCTACTAAATCTTTGACCATCTCAACATCACAACATATAGCTGATGATATGAATGGCCAGCACTGGGTCTACTCAGAAGATAGTCTGTCACCCACCAGCTGCCAAAAGCAAACTGACCAGAACTTCAATCCTAACCATCACTGATATATATATATATATATATATATATATATATATATATATATATATATATACACCAGCAACTGAAACAACATCAGTGTCCGGTTTGTTGTCACTTGATCTAAAAAACACTCATTTATTTATTTATTTATTCTTCCTTTTTCTTCAGCCAATCATAAAACGGAAAACACTTGAGATCAAGATTAAATCATACATTTTCTCCTTTCAATGTCAGTGTCCCAATCATAGTGTCACATCAAAACTATATAATTTCTTATTTTTAGTAAATATGAACCAGATTTAATTGAGGTTAAATTTAGATGCTACAAATTGTTAAAAAATATGCACATGTTATACATAGTGTGTTATACATTTTTGTACAAAATTTTGTAGCTCAAATTTAGCTGCATGCATAATACATATATGTGTATTATATTCAAATAATATCAGTGATGTAATGTTATAATCTATACTCAGCTTACTGGTTAGGTTATTTGTGCATATTTTTATTTTATGCCATCTATTTTGATTTCATACCACATTTTCTCTTCACAGATGATCAAGTACACCAAATTTTGATTTAACTATAGCTTTGTATCTGCATCTAAAGCTGTTCTTATGTTGCATGAACTGCAGATTCACTGGCTATTCTCTATCATGTTTCTAACCAAAGGTAGTGGGACTGCAGCTCATTTCTGATTGTCTTTCAAATCCATACACCATCGTATCTATAAAACTTGCCTGATTAGTTATTTCCCTTTGCTGATTATGTTATTGTTATACATTATGAGAATCCTTTTTATTGGAGTTAAATTGCAAATAAAATTCAGTTGTAGGCACAGTCTTAACAGCATAAGACACACAAATGATACTGTGTTGGTGGCAGACACAGAAAGAAAACTGCAGGAATTCCTAGACAAGTTAGTAAAGGAAAGTGAGAAGAAAGGACTAACCCTTAATTGTCAGAAGGCAGGATGTATGGTTTTCAGCAAGAGAAGTAGTCCATGATGTAAGCTAGAATTGGAGACACCAAAATCAAGCAAATGCAAAAGTTTAAATATCTGGGAAGTGTTCTAACAGAGAATGCAAAATGTGAAACCAAAATCCAAAGATGCTTTTCAGAAGCTAAACAAAGTATTAAGAAAAGGAAAATTTATTAGAAACCAAAAAAGACTACTCAGCTGTTATGTAATATCAGTCGCTTATGTGATATTGTATGTTGGATAATTCCCTCACAGATCAAACGAAGACAACCTTCCTCTGTCTTTTCTACAAATATTTTCATGACAACTGCTCTGATGAGATTTTTTCCATGGTCTCCTGAATACATGAATTTAAACGTGTTACTACAGGGTGCCCAGTATAAAAAGCGCTAAATTCAGAAATAAATTTATTTAGCTATCATGACTTATGCACAAACTGAACAATCATCATAGATGGTTGAAATGTTTGCCTGAATATTCAACACAAAGTTGTAAGTGTGGTAACTAGGAGGTAGTAGCTTTATTCAAAGTCATGAATATTCAAGGTTATTCAAGGTCAATTATTCCTTATTTTTATTGTTAATATTTTCTTTTACTAATGTTTACCCAATACAAGGCCCAAGAACCACTCAAGGTAGAGGGTTAATGTGTGGAGTTGTATTAGTGTAAGAAAGGACAACCATTAGGAGTATACAGTTGAAGTAGATTTTAGAAGGAACTGGAAACCCAATCCTAAACCAGAAACAAGTGATTAACCTCTTTACCCATTGCTGATCATTTTGTGCACCAAAATTTGCCTGCAGGCTTGTCTGCTCCATTTATGGATTGGGGAAGCCTGAATTTTGGATTTTGATGGGGGGTGGGATGAATTTGATTGGAGGAAAGAAGATTTGTATTTTTTTTAGGGTTCCAAAATCTCTTTTAAAGCCATTTGCATTCTGTGATTGATATTTTCACACAGCTCGTTGCATGGTCGTATGTTGGTACTTGATCTCCACCAACAGTGTAATCTGAGTGAAGATGTCTGATGTTGAATAAATCCAAAACCCCTAAAGATCCCAGGGCAACATTACTGATGATATAGCTGCAGTCATCTTACAGATGTTTTTCTAAACAAACTACTCCTATTCAAAAGACTGGGGAGGAGTGTGAACCAGATGATAGGCAAACCTATCAACTCCTATTGAGGGAGGAGAGAAAAAAATATGTCAGATCTCAGCTAAAATATATTTTTTTCTCACAGAATGTTAAAATTTCCATTAGTTTGTCTCTTGGGATTCAGGTACATATGCCAAGTATGGGATGGGATTCCAGTTTATTTTGAACCATTGATAAGGTCTCATCCTGTGGAACCTTGTGAACAGGCTTACATCAAAACTGACTATCTGAGTGGGCTGAATGGGAGTGTTATTAATTATTTTCTTAAAACTAGCAGGCTTCTTTACATTGGATAAATATTTGTACGACAGTGGCCCTTAATAGAATACTTTCTTTGTGGATTTGGATGAGACCATACATGTGACTTGTTTCAGTTGTATATATTTGTTGTTGATGAAATTATTTTATTCAAGATCTGTAAGAGTTTCATTTTCATATTTACTGTTAAGTACTTCTTTAGGTTTGCATTAATTTACATTTTCTATGAATATTTAGTAAATAGGTGCTACAATTTGTATTGGACAAGATTGCTATTGGTTACCAGTTTGTAGAAACCAGTTATGACCTGTTGCTAATTAAGACAAAGACTTTCAAAGTAAATCAATTTGACATTTTTCAAGAGAAATAAATTTCAGCATGTGGTGGAATTTTTATTTTTATACAAAATACAACATTGCTTACAAAAGAAGAGAAAGAAAATTAGATTTATTATAATTATTTTTATATATATATATATATATATATATATATATATATATATATATATAATTTAAATAAAACAGACCACTTTTAAGGTTCCATGTAATAAATTATTTCACCACAGCCCCTTTAACTGCAGATCATCAGACTTTACTTCCAAACAAAAAATAAAATATATATATATATATATATATTATTAAGAAATGGACAAGGTCCGACAATTTATTTATTAAAGACATTTTTATGTTTATAAAACATAAAAATATATAATTTATATCTATAAAAAACAACGTTAAACATAAAAATGTCTTTAATAAATATATATATATATATATATATATATATCTAATGGCTTATGAATTGGGAAAATTTTTTTTTTTTAATCGGTATATTCACTAGCATGCAAGAGGCTACAGGGTGTGGAAGAATTAGGAACAGAAACATTAATAATGAGGAGAAAGAAAAGAGCAATCAGAAGGAGAGTAGATAGTGATTGGTATTGCATTTAAATTTTTGTCGATTAAAGTTGGAGAGCTGAGAGGGAGTTCCACAAGTAAGAAGTGCGGAGTAAGAAACTGTTAGCATAGAAGTTACTGTTACATCTTGCCAGCTCAACTGTAAATTGATGAGATCTCGCTGTCAGTCTAGTATTGGGTTTAGATACATATGTATATGTAAGTATATACATATCTCTGTGTAAGTATATAAACAGGCATCCCTCGATTAATGTGCATTCAATTAATGCGCTAAAATTTTTATCGACCAGAATTTGATTAGTGCATACATAATATGTATATTTTTTTTTTTTTTTTTTTTTAAGCATTTCACCCCAAGCAAGGCGGGGAGCCACTAGGACGCAAGAGGGTTACAGAAAATAGGAAGATCAGATGGGAGTGATAGAAGAAAGGATGAGGGTAGTGGATAGATTAAGGCAACTGGAGATGTCGATTGACATTACACTTGAATAGCTGGAGATTATAACTCTCAGGGAAACAGGAGAAGGGAAGAGAGTTCCACAGGCGAGAGGTGCGAGACATGAAGCTATTAGGAGTAGAAGAGACGGCTACATTTATGAGTTTCGACAGTGAATGGGTGAGAGCGGGATGCGAGCCTCGAGGGCGCTTGAACTCATGAAGTTTGGGAACCAGCGAATGCAGTTCCTCGGAGCAATTTCCATGAAAGTATTTGTAGAACAGACAGAGGGAGGCGCCGGTGTGTCTGTGAGAAAGTGACTGTAGACGAGACGCCAGGGTAGGGCCAACCATATTACATATCCGCTTCTGGAGCCTATCAAGAACCCCGAGGCAAACAGAAGGGGCGCCAGACCATATATGGCAGCAATACTCCATGCAAGGGCGAATTGTGGATTTGTATATCTGGAGGATCGACTCAGGGAGAAAACTTCCTAGCACGGCTCAGGGAGCCAACTTTCTCGCAGTGGACGAGGCAATTGACTCGATGTATTTATTCCATCTCAGGTCAGCAGTCAACGTGAGACCGAGAAGCCGCAGAGAGTTGCTCTCGGGGAGTTGAGCGTCAGACATTATAATGGAGGGAAGGGAAGGCTCTCTGTGGTGATTAATAGAGAGCAGTTTAGTCTTGAAGCGTTGAAGTTGACCAGCCAAATCATGCCCCAGTTCACAATCGATTGGAGGTCCTTTTCGAGGCGCACGGCAAGGTGAGTTTTGTCAGCGAGACTGGATTTGTTTTTGAGGCAGGAATAAATTGTGGTGTCATCCGCGAGATGCCGATTTGAGAAATTTACGGCGTCAGGAAGGTCATTTATATAGATAAGGAATAGAGTGGGGCCTAGGATGGAGCCTTGAGGAACTCCTGCGTTCGTGGGGTAGGAACTGGAGGAGAATCCGTTGCCAGAACTACCTTCAATTCACGGTTTGACAGGAATGATTGTATTCGTTATATAATTGACCCGTAATGCCATAACCCTGGATCTTGCGGAGAAGGCGGCGTGCCAAACCCTATCAAATGCTTTGGAGATATCTAGTGCCATGGCTCGGGCTTCCCGTTATTTTGGAGAGTTCGGTAGACTGTTTCCGTGATGGCTGTGAGCACATCGGCTGTAGATCTGGCAAAGCGGAAACCATATTGCTAGTCTGAGAGCAGATTATTGGATGTGAGGTGGTTAACCACTCCGGTATTGATTAGAGCTTCAAGATTTTGCGAAGAGGGAAGGAGACTGATAGGACGGTAGTTGGAAGGGTCAGAGGGGTCGCCGGAGTTCTTGAAGACAGGAACGATCGAAGAGGACTTCCAGCAGACAGGAAAACAAGATTCCTTGAGGCAGTAGTTGTATAGTTTGAAGGGGGCGCCAGTTCAGGCGCCGCATTTTTTTAAGACAATGGCTGGTATCCCATCTCCACCACTTGCCTTGTTGAGATCTAAATTGGAGATAACGCCCAGTACCAAGGTTGGGGTTATGTTTAACCCACTCAATATGGCCTCAGTTCTAAGAGGAAAGTCGGGTATGGGTACACCAGAAGAGTCGAGCGTCGAAGTTGGATGAAAATTTCCGCGGCAAAGCATTCAGCCTTGTCGGTAGAGGAGGTCAAGACTTCGAACTGGTTGAATAGAGGAGGTATAGAGGTTTGCAATTTATTCAATACACTCTTGCAGAGACGCCAATAATCTTTGGAGCCAAATTTGCGAGATGCAATCGTTCCTTCATTCGAGCCGCAAATAGTGACTTAGCATCATTTAGGACACGCTTACAATCGTTTACGGGCGGTGGCAAAGAGACGTCTATTGCAGTCAGACATGTCGCTCGGTATAGGTGGAAGTAGTGGTTCCTATGGGCGATGGCAGCTGAGCAAGCAGCCGAAAACCAGGGGCAGGAGCGCGACTTAACCCTATATTTCCTTGATGGGATGAAAGCGTTGATTCCAGCTTTAACCCAGGAAGAGACCTCAGAAGCACATTCTTGGACGGGGAGCTTAAAGACTCCATCTCAGGGGACATCGCGGAGGAAATCACGGAACGCGTCCCAGTCAGCTCGTTGATAATAGAACGAAGTTCTAGTGGTAGGAGGTTCTTTATAGGGGGGTGGAGTTAAAGGAGATGTTAACCGATACTACTGCATGGTCAGAGTTACCAAGTGGGCATAGTTGCAGGGCGCTGCAGGATTCGGGGATGGAGGTAAAGCACAGGTCGAGTAGAGAGGCTTTACTTACCCGGTTGAGGGCAAAGCGAGTGGGGAAGTTAACTATCTGTGTGAGGGAATGGGAGATTGAAAATTAAGCGTTTGAATGCCTGCATGGTCAGTAGTAGCATTCTTAAGCCACAGAGTGTGATGGGCGTTAAAGTCTCCAAACACAAAAATGTGAGCAAACGGGTGGAGGGAGAGAGCCTTGTCTATGTTGTCTGAAATGCTATCAAGTATCTCACAGTCTTGAGAGGATGGAGAGCGGTAAAGGAAGAAGAGATAGCTTACCGCATTGAGGAGAGAGAGACGGAGACACATGTATGACTGGTCAGGCGATTCAAGAGAGGACTCTCTGGCCAGGGGGAGATGTTCCTTGACGTAGACACCTGTAAGTATATGTAGATGTATATGTAAATATATATATTTTTTTAATCAGTATCACCCCAAGTATAGCAGTACAGCCACTAACATTCAAGGGGTTACAGGGTGTGGAGGAATTAGGAACAGAAACATTAATAATGAGGAGAAAGAGAAAAGAGCAATCAGGAGGACAGTAGATAGCGATTGACATTGCATTTGAATTAAAGTTGATTGGAAAGCAGAAGCTAGAAGTGCTGGATAAAAAACTGTTGGCATAGAAGTTATGGCTACATCTATCTAGCTCAACTGTAAAATGATGAGATTTCTCTACCAGTCTAGTATTTTGCTTAATTTCATACAGTCAAGGTACCATAGCACATTCATTAAATATGATGTTTGAAGTAATAAAAATATAGTTATTATATTTATATTATATATTATCAGGTCATTGCAAAAGGTTGTCCCTGATTTTTAGTTTTTAATTTTCTAATCAGGCACAAACTTTTGCAATTATCTAATATTACAAAATTTATATTTTTTTTTATTATACTTTTAGATTTTTCATGTAATTTTCTATTCATTTGTTTTTTTATGTATGTTTGTGCGTGTGTGTGATACTGTTGAGTTTTTCTTAACTAATAAATGTTTGTAAAAATGAAATGATTGCAAATATAAATTGATGTACATCCAGGTTCACAAGAAACTTTTTCCTGAAGAAACATTGGCACAGATCTTGAGTGAAGATGTTGTCAAATCAGACCAGCAACGAATGGATGAAGTAAGGCCTTTTCACACTCTATTTCTGAATTTTTCCCCCCATACCTCAACTTTTGTATTTTCTATGATTGCTTTGTTGTAATTTGTAATAAAAACAGATAAGGATTGTAATGACATTCAGTTGAATGTTTTAACATTTTTAAATTAAGTGAATTCAACACATATGTGTTTTTTATATATTTATATACAGAACATCATTCCAAAAAGGAGAGAACTATACATTTATTTGATTATATGAAATGTGTGTGTGTGTATGTCGGTGTATGCATGTACGTGTGAATGGCAAAAAGAGAGAGTGTGTGTGTGTGGTGTACCACATGTTTTAGTTGAGACTAAAATGTCAACTCACCCAAGTTGGACAATTTCCTCACAGATGAAGAGGAGACTTGTGGCAACAGAGATGTTCTATTAAAGGATGTTGAGAATACCCCAAGGTAACAAGATATTTATTGCTGTTGCATCCTGTGTTTGACATGTGAAAGTTTTAGTCCTTTCTTTTTATAACACTTTATAATACAATGCCACCTAGCACGTATTAGGAGAAGTCCCTTGATAATCCTTGAGGTAATCCCCAAAATTCTAGGGGTATTTGTACAGCAAAGAATTAATGTATAATAGTAACAAGAAATTCATCGAAGGTATGGTCATGTAATGGATAGCGGCTTAGATTGAGGAATCGGAGAGCCGAGTTTGAATTCCAGCTGAATTACATTCACTTAATTTCTCTTGGGAAAAGTATGAATCCATCTCTTCTCCCCCAGCTATTGGTCAATAGCAGGATTAACTGTTTCCTATAGCCTTGATTGGCAACTGGTCTAGGAGAAGGATAGCTTTGAATTCAAAACTCTATGTAGCCCTGATGAAGCACTTAATATATAGTTAATGAAACAATCATGGAATTTGTAATAACTGTATGATCTTGACTGTAGCCAACCTACATTCATTCATACAAACTTTAGACAAAATCTTTTTTAAATATTCATAACCATTAATATAAATGCATTTTTATAAAAGCCACTAGGATGCTAAGAGTTACCGAGAATGAAATAAACAGAGGACAATAAAAGAACCAGATTCAAGGAGACAGTATATTTAAATTTTTGAAGATCTTAGTTGACAGGAAAACAAGAAACTGGAAGAGAGTTCCAGAAGTGAAAAGTGAAGGGGAAGAAACTATTAGCATAGAACTTACACCTAGCGATTTCATCAGGGAAATTATCAGACCTAGCTATCACTCTAGTACTCTACTTAATTTCAAGATGTCTAGGTACCAATAATTAAAGCTCATCAGAACAATTACTATGAAAGTATTTATACAAGAAGCAAAGGGAAGTTATGTTAATGCAATGGGAAAGTGACTGAAGCTGAAATGTCAAGAATCTCTGGATTCTTCTGCAGAAACACCAGATTAGCTGTGGCAACAATATTTGATGTTCGGACAACTCTGGATAATGACACTAAATTTGTATTCTTGTATGCTGGATTAATGTCCAGGATCATACAACATATCTCCTTTCCTTGCAATACAAATGCTAATATAATGTAGGATATTTAAAATAAAAAAAGCTGAAAATAAAGTTTCTTCTGGAGCTGAAATGCATTATTTACAAGTTTTCCCATTTTGTTACTCAGCTAGTTTTAAATATAAATTCATACATGAAAATCTTTTTATTTGCCTATTTTATTATGTATATATACAATTTTTTTATTCCATATTCCCTGAACAATTAATATTTTTCTACTTAGTTTGCAAATAACAAATGTTATTCATTGAAAGTAAGGAAAATTGTCAATGATTACTTAGACAAGAAATTAGATACATGACATTTGGATTCTTCTGCTTCTATATACCATGTTCCTTCAGGAAGTGGGGGATCATGACTCTCCACAACTTACTTTCTGTCTTTTGTACCTCTTAGTAATTTTTATCTTTTTGCTATTTCTCCTAATCTCTGTGCAGATAGTGTCATGAATAACAACCCAGAATTGGTAATTGCAGAACTGTGTTGAGTTCGTTATATTTACTTATATGCAAATACTCTGAGGAATGGTATGCATTCACCTCTTCTCCCCACAAACTATACATTAATTAGAAGGACTTGTATCAGTAAATCATTATTAACTCCAAAATATTTACAATCTAGAAATATTTTCTGGTTTTGAATAACCTGCAAAAGGTTAATAAACCATAAAAATAAAAATCAAATCTGTTCTGCCAACCATTTATACAAGATTGCTAGATAGATTATTCACTGAATTTTGCTGTCCCTCTTACCATCAACATGTCTTGTGAGTGACAAATTCTCTAAGCCCTTTTTCCACATTATATGCCCTTGAAATTGCAATTGTCTCTTTTTGAGTATAAGTGCCCTTTTCATTTCCATTTTTCTTAAAACCTCCTCATTACTCACATGTTCTGTCCATGGAATTTTCAGCATCCTTCTGTAGAACAACATTTCCGTTGCTTCAAGTTTCTTCTTCATTTATGAGGAGATTGTCCAACATTCACTGTCATCTGGATTACTAATTCATAAATGTATAACCCAACCCATTCATGATTTTGTATGTAAGATTTTAAAGCTTAGACTCTTAAGTATCTCACTGAATTGTTTGGTATTCACAATTAAAAAACAAACAAAAAAACACAGCAGAAGCATTTTTTGAGTTGTAAAATTATTTATGAACATTACGAACATTTTGTAAAGTTTTTACTTAGTAATTAGTACTGGGTATGACAATAAACTACATCCAGCAGCAAGGCCTCTGATCAGGAAATTGGAGGTTTTGAGGAGCATGGAATTGCTTCCAGGTTCACACTAACCCGGAGTCTTAGGGCCCCAGTTATGGGCAAATAGTGAACACCCAAACAAAAACAAAACAAATAAATAAAAGTATAAAAATACATATTTATAGTAAAATTACCAACAATATAATTTTAAAGCAACATGACCAGCAGTACATTTTATATCAAAATGACCAACAATACTATCTGTAGTTGAAGACATACAATTGCATTCAAAATATATTTAGTTGAGCCATAAAATTGTGTTTAAAATATTTAGATTTCAGCATTAAATAAGCTATATAGATTTAGTATTTTTATTTGTTTTTGTTTTTCTTCATTTTCAGGCTACAAGTGGCATTGAACAGTCACTGATTAGTCCCTTCAAAGATGTTCATTGGTTATTTCCAGAAAATACTACAAATTTTGGGAAATTAACTTTGGAATACAGGGTAGGTTCAGATTTTGAAAGTGATTATTATATTCAGCTGACTGCTAAAAATACAAGATTTTCAGAATAAATTGCTTATGTTGTAAAATTCTCTACAGAATTATAAATCAAAAAGAATTTTCTTTCTTAATTTCTATGCTGAGGAGTTATTATTATTTACATTATTTACATGCAGACTATTATTCCCATTTTGGTTGTTGTTGTTGCAGCATTTCAGCTGTTGTGCCTTCCAGCCATCATGTGCTTGTTTATCTGAGTAACCTTCAGGGAATAATGAATTCAACTCTTTATTTAATCTAGAGGAGTAGATTGTTTTCGTTCCATTGTCCCTATCCAGTAATATCTCATCCAGTTCTTATTTTAGTACTGTTCCATTATTACTTGACTCATTTCCAATGACTATGAGTATGTACTACCTAGCACAAGGATTGAACTGCAATAACCATGTCACCAAATTCAAAAACTAATGACTTAATTCCCATTAGTATTTCTTTAAAAGAAATGTAAACACAAAATCAATGAAACAATATAAATGTAAAGCATCATAAACAATTAATAAAATTTATCAAATTTACAAAAAAGTAATAATAATAATAATAATAATAATAAGGTAGGTATATAATACAGAATAGATTTATAAAATCCTTTAGCGCAATTTTAGTAAATGGTGCAGCAATGGTCTTGCCACAGATGATAAGGAAAAATATCAAATAGGAAATTGTGAACAGGAAAGAAAAAAAAGAAGAATTCTAATAAGCAAATAGAAATCTCAGGAAATCCTTGTTTGTTCTTCTAATTATAATCTCTTGCTTTGGTATTTGTAAACTAAGAAAAATATTAACTTTAGAGCTGTGCTTAGGAGCAGCAAAAACAGTGCTTTTGCTCCAACATCTCACAGAAGAATTTATTTCAAGTACAAGTATCCACTGGAATAACATTTGAAGTGCACATATTGAAAACTTGTGAAATCATTCATGAAATCTGCCTACCTTTGCATCTCTCATTCAAATTTTGATAAATAAAATCTTATTTTACCCACAATAAGCCTGTTTAGTTTCATTTACATTGACTATACAGTTATTCAGATATTTACATTACAAATAATATCAATTTTTTGGAGACACACTGTATTAAATAGGAGACCAGAAAACACAAAAGAAGGAAAATGATTAACAATTCTAATAATGATAAGAAAATAGAAATCTACTCAGTAAATCTTTGTTTGTGCTTCTCTTTATGGTCTCTTGCCTTGGTATTTGCATTCCAATTTAAACTAAGAAAGATATTAATTTTAGAGCTGTGCTTAGGGGCAGCAAAAACAACGTATTTTGCTCCAACATTTGACTGAAGAATTTATACTAGCCTACTTTTAGTTAGTATGGATATGCACCTAGAGTAGCTGTTATTGGCATGGAGTGGGATTAGTGTATTAAGTTAAAATTCCAGCTGTGGCCATTGTATTCACCTCTTCCTCCTCCACCAGCTAGAGATTAATAAGCTGAGCAGATTGGGCTCTTTAGCATTGATTGGCAACCAGTTTAGGAGAAGGATAATTCTGAATTCAAAAACAGCTAGCAATTCCACCTTACAATAAAAAAAACAATCTGCAATAGAAACTAGAGTAGCAACACATAGAGTAATGAGGCTATGACACTCCACTTTACAGCGGATTGCAAAGGATTAATAACAACTTTTGGTGAGTATATACCTATAGGCCTTTCTAGAAATAATGAAGGTCAGTTACAGTGCTAAGAATAAATGAAAATAACCATAATAACATTCATACTTAAAGTAGAATGTCGTGATTTAACAAACTTAGTAGTTTTTCAATACAATATTTGTTTGAGAAGTTTTTGCATTGAGTATGTATGTTGTGCATTGAAATTCAGTAGGAAATGAATTACCAATGGTTAGGAATTAATGCAGATGTTACTGACAGAATGGGGCTAGTATATTCGTAATGTTATTGTCTGGTACAGATTATAGAAAAACACAGGATCAAAGCCCACATTTATAACATTACTATTTATTTCATTCTGGATGTTACCAATCCCAATGAGGGTTTGGTTTTGAGGCCTTCTCCAAACAGGGTCTCTCCATTTTCATGTGTATGTGAGGGACTCTCTTCCCTCTGGATTGGGTGATTATATATCTGCCTGTCTATGCAGAGTTGGGTTGATTACTTGTTCATATGTTGGGACAGCCACTTGAAATTGGATGAAGAGCAGATCTTCACCCCCAGTTAGGAGGTCAGCACCTAGCTCAGCCCTGCACCTAGCCTCTCTGAAGGAGACTGAATGCAAAGTCTATTTTGGTATCATCTGAGGTGATCCATATACTACATATAGCAGTATTTATAAAAAAACAAGCAAACAAACTTCTTAACATAAAAATCAGGTTTATGAATCTTTTGAAATATGACAATACAGTCATGCAAAAATTTTGATAAGAAGAGAGAAATAGGAAAGAAAATGAAGGTACACAATCTGACATTTTTTAATCATCTCCCCCCCCCCAAATAAGGCAATAAAAGATAGTAAAATGCAAGGTGGGGTTACTGTGAGTGAAGGAAACAGAGAGGACAGTAAAAGAACAGGGTTCATGGAGACAGAAGCTAACAATTGACATTGCATTTAAATTTTTGAAGATTTTAATTGACAAGAAAGCAAGTTGGAAATAAGTACTATGCTAATAGTTGCATAGTACTTGTGGTTACATCTAGAAATTTCTGCAGGGAAATTATGAAACCTAATTGCCTGTTGAGGAAAGCTCATTAGTACAATTGGCAAGCTTATTTTATTAGGAATATTTACCAAATTTTATTTGATAACTTATTTATATATTTGGCACAAATAGCTGAGATTTATTTATTTATGTTTTAACTTCTATTTCTCTTTTATGAAAGACAACATATTTTTGAATGTATTTGAATTTGTAGAAGCATTTCAAATTATGTTTCTTTTCTACTGATCTTTTTAATATTGATTCTGTATAATTGATTATTTTCTTTTATCTAACAATTGTTTTAATAATAGCAACAATAATAATGTACCTAAGAAAAGTACTAAAAGAAAAGTCATTTCCCTTCTGAGAAATTAATTTAATGAGGAATTCTATACAGAAATGCATACTTACACATCCACAGACACAAAATAAATAATATGTGCTGAGAAGTTCTCAGCCCAATCAAAAAAGAATTCCGAAACAAATTCTGATGTTTGGTCATATTTTGGGAGGTGGGTTATGCCTAGAACATTTAGTACACCCTCCTCCACTTTGTATAAATATAGCTATAGAAAAGATTGTATTGGTAAAAATTATTATTTAAAATTCAAAATTTTAACTTGATATACTTACTTTTTAAATGCCTCTTTTGGCAGTTTATTTCCTATTAAGAGAATTTATAATAATTTTCAAATTTTGATTATCATTAAACTTAATTATTATCATTGTTAATGTTTTGTCATTTGTGTACTATGATGGTTAGTGGAGAAAGTACAAACAGATCAAGTTTTTTTTTCACATTTATTCCTCTTATTTTATTAAGAAAACTCAGAAAACAACTTTGTAATTAGATATTAACAGACCTGCAGTTTTTCATTTATTTTTTTTTGCTTTTTCAATTTATATTTAATTTATCAATTGGACTGGAAATTGCTCATATTAACTGTATTGTGTTAATAAAGGCCATGCTATGATGTACTATTTTTGCTGCTATGTTAACAAACACATCAACCAACCTACACAAATCAGATCATTATAATACATATTTCAACTGTCATTGATACTATACAGATGTACATATATATTTATTTATTCATATAAATACATTATGAATATTAAATTTGCAATCCAGAGCTTAACCAAGTTGTTATGAAATAAAATCTATTTTCATATCTGTGAAATTTACTCTAGATTTCTATTCTTCTGTTTATTCCCTTTCTTCTAGGGTTTTTGTGGTGTCACACTATCTGTTTATGAGGGATTACTTCTCCTTGGGAATCCAAATATTGGTGTGGCCAAATACAAAGATTGTTACTACACTTTTGCCTCAAAAGAAGCAGCTTTTGCATTTGCAAAAGACCCTGAAAAGTAAGCAAAGTTTGTGACATGATCTCATTTTGGTGCATCACATCTGAAATGTCTCATATTCTTTATCCTTTTTGTTTCATATATATATCTAATATTCTGTTAATATCTAATCTCATTTATATTTTCTCCATAATGTACAGGCCATTCCTAAAATCTGGATACATAGGCAAAAATTTTCAACAACATTTTATTGATTTGGAATATTAACAAATAACATCTCCAATACAATTTACATCATTTGTGATACAAATGTTGATGTGCTTTGCAAGATTCAGATGAACTTGATGCATTTACCTTGATTTTAGTCCATCAGAGGATGAAAGGCATTGGTAAAGAAAAGTTTTCCTTTTGTCTTTATTATATATATATATATATATATATATATATATATATATATATATATATATATATATATATATATTAAGATGAAAATGGGCCATGTGTGCTTTTTTTATAATATATAAATTATAATTTATTAGGCTGGTTAATAATATGTAAATTTAATAGGCCAGTTAATAAAATTTTCTATGTAACATTAAATTAAGGGAATGCTTCTCCACAAACATCAACAACTACCAGCTTTCTACCACCAAGGCCAAAGCACACACAAACCCAAAAAAATACAGACACTAAAGATGGATACAATCACCACATCAATTCATATATTAACCACTTGGATAACTTTATGCAAAGCAACCTCCATCAAAATAGCCAAACAATACCACCAGGCAGCAACGAAAAGCCATAAAATCTCTCCAAACAAAGAAATAATCATCAAACAAGCAGACAAGAGTGGTTTAATCCCCATTATGGACAGGAGACAATACATCATAGATGTAGAAAATCTGCTCAATATACAAAATTTTTATGAAAAACTCACACATGATCTTGCTAAACATTTCATATTAGAACTTCACTCTCTAATTAATACACAGACAGTAGTTAAAGCTTTCATTACAGAAAAACCTAAACCAGTTACATTCTACACTATCCCCAACCTAAACTCCCAAAAGTAATTACAGACACAACCACCAATCTCTCAACAGAGAACATCAACAGAAACTCAGGCAAGATACATGATCTGATGGAATCTCTTAAGATCCGGTTGACTGATAGCTTCAGAAATTGGAACTCTGACACAACATATTTCAGGTTACATTGACCAAATCCTCAAACCTCTATTATCCACAATTCCAAGTTATATTAAACATTACCCATTTCTTATAAATTCTGAAAAATATAGGTAGATCACCAAACAGTTCACTCCCAGTGAATTGTTTGGATGTGACACCCTTATATTCAAACAAGGAGGGAATACTAGCCTGTAAGAATTTTTTTATGTACCAGAGGCTTTCAGGAATACAATACACAAGACATCACCAACATTATACAATTCATGCTTATGCACAACAATTTTCAGTTCAGTGGGCACCATTTTCAAGTCAGAGGCACAGTGATGGGAACAAAAATGGCTCCCAGCTATGTAAACATATTCATGGTGCCCTGGAATAAGATATGTCAACTAGTTACGACCTAGCAACTCTACATTGCCACAGATATATAGATGGTCACATAGAGAAAACAGTCTCCGAGACTTTAAAAAATAGCTCAACCGTTTCAACCACACCATCAAATTCACAATCGAATATTCCACCACATCTATTCTATTTCTGGATGAACTGGTATGTCTAAATAATAACTCCATTACACTATACACCAAACCCACAGACGGTCATTGCTACCTAAATTTTAATAGTTTGACCAAACAATTAGAACAATATTCAGCTCCTCTTTGTGTTAGGCATCAGCTTCCCAACCTACACACACACTTAACATTATCCAGTATATGTCATACACCGCCTTGCCAAGGGAATGTCACCAATAAAGCCCAATAACAAGTCTGTTGACATATCATCACTGATAGCAATTTCACACACCCTGACACTCATGCAGTATTCAAACCAGCAGCTCTTAACTGTGACAGTTCAAATCTGATATAATTGCTCTTCTGCCACAAATGCTGAAAGAGAAATTATGTGGGAGAAATTGGAGCAGAATTCTATCTTTGGTTCAATAACCATAAAAAAATCCATTAAGGACAACAGCAACAATTTCCTGGTTGCTGCACACTTCAATCAACCATTTTATCATCTTCATTCAACAGCCAAGAAGAAAGGTGCAGATCAGAGTTGAAATTTATTTTCAAAATCACACATTAAGGAATTAAACAGGGATTTGGGTCTGCTCAAAGAGGATAATTTCCACAGAGAGAACTCAAAACAACAACATTCCTCAGAAGTGAAAGTCCAACATCTTTGTTTATTCCACATATCTTTGAAAAAGAACCGCAGAAGTGTTCAAAAATTCTGACGTTAAAATCCATCTCTTTGTGCTTCAGTTCAGGCAAAAGGTTAATATATAATAAATATCAGTTTTACTGGCAATATTGGTGTCATTTTGTTGACTTTTTATTCTTCAAATTTTATTAACCAGCATATTAAATCTATATATATATATATATATATATATATATATATATATATATATATATAGATAGATAGATAATATTTATTTTTATGTTTACATATGTCTATTCATGTGTGTCTAAGTAATATTGTGTCATACCAAGATAGTCATAAGTAAAATATATCAAACTATTTCAATTGGCAGGTTTATTTTGTGTGTTGGTGAAATTGCCAAATATAATCCTGAATTGATCCAACTTTTACAACTTCACAGTCAGTTCTCCACCATAACTCCTCAGGTAAGAAAATTGTTTGTCTGACATTTATTAGAGATTTGAACGCTACTGAACTGGCAGCTTAATGCCATATCATGTTGAAACTCTGGTTCTCGTATGAAGTTAAGCAAGTCAGTACCCAGATGAGTGTCCATTTGTAGATACCTGGTGCTGTAAGCTTGGATGTGTGGGTGGTGTAATGGATAATGACTCGGAATTGGAAATCAGAGAGTCAAGTTCCAATTCCAGTTGGGTTTGTAATATTCACTTAGGTGCAAATAACCTTGGGAAACATGGGAATCCATCTCTTCTTCTCCCAGCTATGGGTTAATTTTATAAAATTTTTATCCATAAATCATTATTATCTCAAAAAAATCTTACAATCTAAAGATATTTTCTGACTTTAAATAAAATGCAAAAGGTTGATAAGCCATAAAAAACCAAATCGATCTTGGACTGGCTTGGTAAAAGTGTTGAAAATTGTCCAAGAACTGAAGAAAAGAAACCAAACATTGTACCAAACAATGTTAAAGTTTATTAAAAACTATGAAAATTAGATTTACATAATTTTGATTTAATTCTAATAGAGTATTCATTGAAAGCCTTTTCACATCAAAATATTTGAAATTTAATTAAAAAAGTATCCAATGTGCAATTTATTCATGTGTCTTTATTTCAAACAGCATTTCAGTCATAGAACACAATATGAATAGACATAAACAAAACCACAAGAGTACGATTTCTTTACTCACCAGTGTTACATTATTACTATGTAAGCTACCAAGATTAGTCAAATCTTGATATTTTGAATAGTCATGTTTATCATCACAGTTCCATGTTTCCCACGTCAACACTGCAACTATATACAGATGTACACACCTATGTACAAATAATAAACTTTGTTGTAAAGTAAAAAATCTAAGTAGAATGGCAGTTAAAAAAATAAAAAGATCAAAAATAATTTCTTAAAATAAAAAAATACTATTTTTAGATTGAAGATATGAATAATTCCTTTTGTGGTGATTCTGTTAGTAATTGTCAGGTCAGAAAATGTGCTGACATTTCTACCTATAGTCACCTAAATGGAACCACACCTAGATCTCTGGTTCTTTGAGAAACACCCAAAATTATCTTACGCAGTTTATTCCCACTGCTAGTTTTTCCCTGGAAATACAGGAAAATTATTCTTTGTTCAATTACTCCTTTTTAGATAATTATAAAAGAGATTCACATTGAATTGTCAACTTTATTGGATGATTCTTTCCTTCTGATTCCACATTTAACATAATTGTTAAATAAATATTCTCAATGAAAAGGGACTGATGTAATCTATATAAATTAAAAAAAAATGCCTTATGTCAGTATGTCTGCGAGTTTAATATTACAGTGTCCAGAAAATAATTACATAATTTACCATTATGAGTCAACCAACCAAGACAAAATCAAAGTTCAGTGGTAAGAAACTGTGTTTAAAATTAGTTTATTATCTCTTCTACTCAAAATTCTTTCCTTTATGGAAGAGCATTTCAGAGTTTAATTGGATGTAAGGATGGTGCTATGAATAGCAGTGTTGAATGAGAAATCAAAAAGCTGAGTTCAAATTCCAGTCAGATTTGCTAAATTCACAGGTGCAAATACCTTCAGGAAATGTATGAATCCCTCCCTCCAGTTAGGGGTTCAATAGTACTATTTGTGTCTAGAAAAATCATTTTTATTTCTCAAAAATTGTTAATGCAGTATTTGCTTGCAAAAAAAAAGAACTATTCTTAAAATCCCAAATATTTTTTGGCTTTAAGTAACCTACAAAGGATTGATAAACCATAAAAACAAATCAACCAATCAATTCAGAGTTTAATTGTATAAAATCTGAAAAGAAGGAATTTGAGTTCCTCATAAGCTTTTGCTTGAGTACCAATTACAAGGTTCCACTATCTGCAGAAGCCTTTTAACCAGGAAAGCTAACCTTTCATTTTTGCATTCTCTGTTATTACAGGTGATGATTTTGCATGTCAACCAAAAACACAGTAATTATCCCAAAATGAAAAAACAATGCCAACACCAAAACCAGGACTCCATTTATAGAAGTTGTTACCTTTTGTCTGGAAGAATATGAATGGTCCTGTCTGTTACAAGCTACTGGAATATAGAAAGACCATTAAAGAAGTTTGTCAAGAATTAGATAAAGCATTACATCAAAAGTACCCTGTTTTGATAAACAGAAAAAGTGTTATTCTGTATCATAACAATGCAAGGGCACACTCTGCAAAACAAACCCAAGAAAAATTAAGATTGTTTGAATGAGTGATTCATCTACACTGTCATACTCACCAGATTTAGCACTTACAGGTTTTCATTTGTTTCAATTACTAAAACATTTCATAAGTAGCAGAACATTCAGAAACAAAGAATTTGAAAACAAGTCTTTCAAACTGTTTTTCAGGTCAAAAGTAACATTTCTTTAAATGTGGAATCAAAAATGTGCCTTCCTGCTGGGCAGTAATTGTTGAAAATGAAGATGTCTACATTTCTGATAAATACTATTTAAATAAATTCAACTTACACTTGTTTTGATATCCTTTTGGTAAAATGGAATTACTTTCTAAACAATCTAATATGATTTCAAAAGTGTTTTCAAAATATTAGAATGTATCAGAATAAATGGCCAATAGAAATCTGTAGACTTAATTGTTTTGGTCTTTTGTGACAGTTTTATTTATTTTATTGTTTAGATTTGTTGCTTTATTTGAATTAATTCAGTGATACCATTCCATCATTTCATGCAGAGAAGTTAAAGTATTAGATTCTTTTTTCTGAAAAAAAAAACAATGTACTCTTCCCATTGACCTTAGCCAAAAAGAATGCTGAAAACTAGCTGAAAGGGTATATAAAATCAGACACAAGATATTATAACCAATTATTCATAAGGAATTAGGCAGAAGACTCATGTCCAACCATGTAGACAAATGACAATTAGTTCAAATAGCAAAGTGTCCCAGAAATTAAAAAGAGAAAAATATCAGTGGTTTGAGATCCAGATCCCATCCAAGTAAGAAGACCAATCTAGTTATGAACAAAAAAAAAAAAGGATTCTGTTAAATTGTAGAGTAGAAGTAGAGTAGAACACAGAACTGATAAATAAGTACTGAGACTGTTGGAATCAGTGAGAAAATATACTGGAGATTTGAGGAGATGCAATCATCAGAGACTTGACAAGCACCAGACACCTGTGTTGAATCAATTCACAAATAATATTAATTAAAGAAATCAAAAACTGTAAACTACCAGTACCTTGCTCAGGAGTTAAAAAAATGTGGAATGATAGGAAATAACTTGGAATAATATGGAATAACTTGGAACAGTGCCCCAAACAACAAAATTAAGATTGTTTAGATGAATTAGGAATGCAAGGACAAATTGAGATTGTCCAGAACATGGCATTGTCAAGGTATACGAAGTTACTGAGAAAAGCGTAGGAAACTTAAGGTGGCTCATTGTCACTCAGCCTTCAATCACTAGAATTTGGTGTGAACACACACAGGCATTAATGACGATAATGATAACTATTCATGTAAGACATAACAGCTATGCCCAATAGCTATGTAATTCTTTGACAGTAGTAATATTTCTCGAAGGGATAATGAGAGGAAAAACTACTTTGAATCTTAAGGATTCTCTGAATCTTCAAAAATAGAAACGATTAAAAGCAACTACAGACCGATAACATGCTTGCCTATGATGTGGAAATTCCTAACAGAACAAGTAAGAGAAAAAATTATTACCCACTTGAAAATCAAGCGCCATTTCCCGACAACACAAATGATGCCAAAAAAGAACTAGAAGGTGAACTAATCTCTTCTACATTGACTATAATATATTGATAAAACGAAGAATCTAGTCATAGCATGGGTAAACTATAAAAATACTTTATGATATGGTACCACATTCCTGGATAATAGAATGCCTGAAAATGCTAAAACCTTCAAAATAGTGAACTTCAAAATGAAATGAATAAAAAAATTGGAAACTGAACCTGATTGCAGGCGGACATTATCTGGCAGAGACCAAAGCAAGAATACAGATCTTCCAAGTTAATCTACATGAATCCTAGCAAATTTTCATAGCATAGATACGGCTGAACTATATAATGAGGAAATATAAAAAAAAATTTATTCACAAAATAGCGAGAAATTTTGAACCATCTTATCTACATGGATGACCTCAAAATGTTCGACAAGAATTAAAAAGGAACTGATTATTCCCATACAAACGTTCAGAATCTTTAACCAATACATAGGAATCAAATTTGGTATTGTGAAATATGCAATGCTAACAATGAACAAGGGAAAACAGATACAATAGAAGAAATTGAACTGTTTAACCAAGAACACACCAAGACGCTCATCGAAATGGATAGTGATTGATCTCTCACAATTCTGGAAAGAAAGTTGCAAGAGGAGAGTAGTTACGAGAGACTAAAATAAAAGAGGCTTGCTGTATCCATTACTATTTGTCATAATGATGATACTGCTGGACAGTATAGCAAAGAAATGAAACCAAATTTACAAATCCAGAAAGTCACGAGAAAAGATGAACTACCTTATGTGCATGGATAAACTTAAACGTTTTGCCCCCAAACTAAAATCATCTAGGAACTCTAATATAAAGGGACCAGGATTTTCCTGTTGGATATAGGTATGGAATTGGGCATTGATTAATGTGCAGTGCTGATAGTGAACAAAGGAAAAGAGAAACAACAGAAAGAACTGAACTGTCCAGCCAGGTACACATCAGGACGCTCAACAAAAATGAAAGCTAGAAATACGTAGGTATTTTTGGAAGCAGATACTATCAAGCAGAAGGAGATCAAGGAAAATGTCGACAAAGAATACGTTAGAAGAATATGCTAAATGATACTCGAGATCAAATTCTATTTACCCAAAACACGCTGCTCATGAATGAATACTTCCCCGGCTTTCAACCCAGATATGTGGAGGGAATGGGTCAGGTGCTCATTGGCGTAGTTGTCCGACGACTAAATCTAGTCATTAGGGCTGATGACGATGTTTCATCTTAGTTTTAATTTTTAAGGGTTTACATATCTATCTCTGTTTATGAACTATATTGGACTAGATTATTAATTTCCCCGTTAGTTTTATTTGTGCAAATATCAAACTCAGTTCGTGAGATTGTACATGCACTTGGTTATATGTTGCGCATATTCGTAAATTCGGAAAGAATTTATTGAATAATTCTTTGGTAAAACTGTTTTTCGACTGAACGATTTCTATGTTCGTAATTCATATAAACAAGCAATTATGAGTTTTATATATATATATATATATATATATATATATATATATATATATATATATATATATATACTGTTAGTGTGTCATCGTTGGGTTAAAGAAGAATAATTTTGAACTTGGGCGTTGCTGTTGTTTATTATAACAAATACTAAATTATTTTCAGGGTAAAGATGCTCGTGACAATCTGCAAAAAGCGATTATTAAATGTGACAGCGGCACCCAAACTGATACACACTTTATGGAATCAAATATTGTCAAGTCTTACGAATGGAATGAATGGGAATTGCGAAGAAAAGCCCTTAAATTGGTAAGAATTTACATCATTGAAATTGGTATCTTTATACGACCTGAAACATCCGATCATACACAGGTTTCTCAATTGGTCTAGGAATGTCGATTCTAACAGAATTGTTGCTTCCATTCAATTGAGAAGATACATCTATTTTACCTTTATAAAAATTCAAAAAGTTATAAATATAAATACACAAAGGACCTAAAATGGACTTCTCTTCTTACATTTTTTTAAATATCATATAATAATGCATGTTCTTTCGTTTCTTAGTCGGTTAATACATGTGTTACGTTTTTCCAATACACCATAAATAATGGACTATTCCATTTTGATTCCGAGGAAAGACGGAAAAGACATATCAGAGACGTTGTTTGCTTTCAATGAAATAAAAAAAGAAAATAGAGACGATGATGCTCTTAAACGTCTGCTTCATTGAAATGGAAAAACTTGTTAATTTTGCATATTTTCATTTGTACCCTCATAATTCTTTAAATAATGATCTACATCCATATTTATGATTGTTGTTGCATTATTTGGTTAAGGTTATCAAACTGAAATATTTAAAGATGCAATTGGAGAATTTCTTCAGGTATTTTATAGTCGTGCAACTCGCAAAGAGCTTATTTATTCATTAAATATTATGATACATCAGAGAATAAAAATGAGAAAACCGTGAAATTTTCACGGGTATTACAATTACTTTATTAATCTAAATAATTACTCTGTGTAAATTATTTTAATCAGGAACGTTTTTCAACATCATTTGCATGTTTAATTTCTATTTCTGCCTTTTCACAAGAAAGTGCGAAGTGAATGCTGATTCCATTTTTGATGTCATTAACCGATTAACCACCTCAACCTTTGCTAGAATTTTTTTTTTAGAAATAGCTTACTGTTTACATAGACCTGTAGAGTGTAGGTTTACAGGTTTGTATCGGAACAGGGTTGAGAACTTTTGAAGAAACTAAAATTAACATTTTCAAAAAGAATGGATTTCAACACGTGAAGGAATTTTATACACATATTTTTATATGTTGAATAAAAATACATGAAAAGAGAAAATATAATAGTGTATACACAGCTTAAAAGGAAGAAAAACATTATAGGCTTCCTTGTTAAAAAGTGTATATGTATATGATGCGCTACACGGCAGGGTTTAGAGTTTAGCAAGCCGTCTGCTTGGGGAAAGCAACTTTCTGCAGAGGTAATGAAACGTTTCGTGTACCTGCCACATTTTAGAGCAAAAAAAAAAAAAAAAAGGAAGAGATAATTTATGTCCTTCCTTTTATAGTCCTGGGTTGTGCCACCTACCGGGCGTCTTCACAGAACAAGTGGGATCATCTCCATAGACATGTACAATTAGAGCGCTGCCGTTGTTGCATAAAACGTCATATTTCTTGCAGTTTGGTAACTTCTAGTAAGCTCGAAGGTCAGTGCCATCTATCTTATGTTCATCCTCGAGTCATATTACCCAAATAGACTAATTTTTTTGGATCCAGCGGTTTGGCCGGTCATAAGAAGCGGACAAGTAAGCAGTTGCCAACAATAGATATATGTGTTGTTACGGCCACATCACATTTGAAAGAACGGTTCTCGTACGGTCACGTCGAGCCTGGTCAGTACGTAGATGAGTGACCGCTTGGAAATACTAGGTGCTATAAAATGGGACGTATGGGTTGAGTAATGAATAATGGCTTCGGATTGTTAATTGGAGAGTAGAGTTTCAATTTCCCCTTGGTTTTGTTATATTCACTTACACAGAAATGCCCTTGGGAAAGGTAACAATTCACTTCTCCCCAGGTAAGACGTGTATCGCTAAATTATTATTATCTTAAAATAAAAAATTCTTACAGTCTAAAAAAGAAAATATTTTCTGGCTTTGTATAACCTGCAAAGGGTTGATAAACCGTAGAAAATGAATGAATGAACCAATAGATATATATGTATTTTTCGCGTGTCTACATGCGTGAAAGTACATATATTCAGGTATATTTGCTTGCGCGTGTGTTTGTGTGTATTTGAGTGTTTAATTCCACTGTTATGTAGTGATATGCTTCTACTAATAGTTTGAAACGTAGGGAACCCCTAACATTAAATTACAAACATCTTATAAATTTTAACACATTTTATTTGTTTCAGTCACCTATTTTTGTTGCTTATAATCACATTTATTTTTCTGAAGGATTGTTTTCTGCCTGTTAAAAACTGCATAAATTCGGTATATATGAGTAGTTTCGACCAAGACTCAAAATTCTATTTGATGTTTCTGGAAGTTGTCTTTCATAAGCGATATATTCGATTATTAGGCTACAAAAACAGTCGGGCTTAACCATGATTTTCATTTGGAGCCTTTCTGCTAGAATTATGATTAAAAAAAGAATTTTTTTAAATGAAGAAAACTAGTGAAAATGTTTATTAAAGAAAATCTTTCACCGTATAATCTCGGGGTAACCTGAAACTCACAAACATTTTCTGTTTCGTTGCAGACAAATTTAAGGCAGAAATTGACACACTCAATGCAGACAGACCTCAGCAACTTTCGACGTGACTCTGAAACTCAAGTCTACTTACCAAAGTGAGACAATGATATATTCGTAACATTTTTTGTGTTTTACTCTCATGTATTCGATTTCCTTTTTGTTCTCTTCCAGAAAGAAATCACATACTTTCTGTTCTAGTTTCATAGGAACTCTGAGAAAGAACATGAAGATAGATGGCTTCTTAAAATGGAATTATTGAGCCCGGAACTAACTTTCAACGTTAACATAACCGTTTGTGAAGGTTGTCAACTAATCTTCTAGGGTTGTAGATTGCTACTGATATTGAAAAATATTAATAGAAACCCTTTTTAAATTTTCAAGGAGAGAGTATTTTTGTGGGGGTGGGGATCAGTTTTTATTTAAAAACCAAAAAAGTCATTCAGTCTCAAATCCCGAAGTGTAAGTCTCAACTGATTATATCTGTAGTGACCACTGCTAAGTTTCAAATTAATAAAATATCTAACGTTAAGACCTTAGCATTAACATCTATTTGTCGTATACTTTCAGGGCGTGGGCTCTTCACATCTTCCAGTCTTTTGTAGCCCTTAGTAAAATTTGTCTTTTTACTATCTCTCCTAATCCCTGTTCTGCCAACCATTTACAGAAACTCATAGGTTATGTGCTGCTTTCCTCTGCACCTCTTGCATTCAGTATGTACTCTGACGGTTATGTTTTCTTATATATCCAAGAAATTTAAGATATCTCTTCCTGATTCTGAGCATAAGTGTTCTTTTTATTGCCATTAAAATTTCACTATTGCTCACGTGTTCATTCCATTGTATTCTCAGCATCCTTGTGTAGAACCACATTTTTGTTGCCTCAAGTCTCTTTTTCATTTTTGCTGAGATTGTTCAGCTTTTACTATCATATAGAAGGACTGATATTGCATCATAGTTTGATATCCTTTTCTTTGCTTCTAAAAAACTTTTCCTGTTTCTTAATACATTACTTAGCTTTTAGAAGTCACTTTTCTCTGTCCCAGTACGCCTATGGATTTTGGTGTCGCATTTTCCGTTCTCTGTTAAAATATTTCCTAGATAGTTATAATTTTTTTTTACAGTTGTTTGATTTTGTTATCAGTTTGTAATTCTCATGTCGGTCACTTTCGTTTCCCGACAACCATAAATTCTGTTTTCTTACAATCGATGTTTGGTGTTATCTTCTCTCTTTCCTTTACTACCTTCTGTGAGAGTACCTGTGGTTTTCTTTCTGTGTCTGCTATCAACACTGTGTCATTTTCATATCTAATGCTGTCAAGATCGTGGCTGCCAATAATGAATCCTCGTAGGTCTTCTAATTTTGTCAGGATTACTTCCTTGTATCGGTTAAATAACTCTGTTACTGATTAAGTCACTCAAATTAATTATTATGATTTTATTATTGCGTGTGTGTGTTCGTTAATCATATTTGAAAGTCTTGCAACTACTTAAGTTTTTCTCCATGTAGGTTAAAAATTGACAAGGCACTGTTTTAACTCCATTATTAATTTGTCAGCTGAAAACTAAGTTTGGGTATTGTATGATCAGCATCTATTTCAACCAGTCAGAAATTCTTTTTAATATCCAATTATCTTTGAAGATTGTGTAAATATGACAATCTCATAGATGTGGATTGTCTTATGTAACTAACTCCCTTAGTTTGTGTCGCATGTGTGGAAGGAAAAATATTAACTCATTCATCTTTGATTTGGCTAGTGAGAACATTTTTTTAAAAAGATTTCTATAAAAAAAATGAGAAAAATTGATGTTTTAGACAAATGAATATAAACAAGAATAGAGGACTTGTAATTCGTTACAGATAAAACGAAATAACATCAATAAAAGGGAAAAAGAAGACAAAATAACCCAGAATCTGAGAAGGTATGTTTGAGAGTCTTTGCGTCTGTAATGTAAGAGTTCAGAATCTGGATCTATTGGGTTGAAAAGTTTGTTTTGTATTTCATGTTGTTCGGCGTATGGATCAGTTATAACAAATTAAGTATAGGAGAAAAGGAAATTAAATATTAGAATGGACTGCACCAGAGGTCGTTTCGCCCAACACCGCATATTGCTACAAAACCAAAAGATCAACCTGAAAACTCTTCTTAAATAGCCTTGTCAAATCAAGTCTTCCATATGTATGCCATTCATGACGCCGAACGCGTTCAGAAATATCAAAACTGCCAGCTGTATAAAACCGCTTTCACAGATCAATGGTCAAAGATAGCTTTGAGCGTGTGTAGCTCGAGGGTTTTGGTAAATACAATACTTTGAGCATTGAACTGGTGCTACATAACCACAAACAAAGAACTATACCGAAACACAGAAACCACATAACTTGAAGACTACCAACAGCAGCAACAACTAAAATGGATAGCACATGTAACTTGAAAAGAAAATAATGACATAATCAAGATGTTGATTTTCCACACTACTTCAAATAAAAGGTTAGGAAAGAAACCTCCATCAATACTAGAAAGAGTGATAACAGCTACCTGTTTTCCTAAAAAAAAAAGTGTTTTAAGAGAAAAATTTTATAAATTTCAACCGAAAACTACTGGCTGCTCGCTCAATGAATGTTAAATGTTTCCTTGTAGGGAAACGGTTATTATTACCATTAATATTGCCATTGATCAGTCTACTACCATTGGGCTACCTCGCAAATGGAATAACATATCTAAATAAAAAGTAACCAAATCAAAGATGTTCATCTCGAAATCCTTGACAAAATCCAGAATATATGCAATATGATATGTCCTGATCTGGCATCTCGTCTACAGTCACTTTTTCACAGACGCGCTGTGGCTTCTCTCTGTCCTTTCTACAAGTATTTTCATGGAAACTGATCTGACGAACCACTTTCACTGGTTCGCAAACTGCATGAATTTAAGTATTCTACTAGGTTGGCATCTCGGTCCCACCCTTTCGCTGTCGAAGCGGTTAAATGTAGCCGTCTCTTCTACTCCAACAGCTTCTTATCTCGCACTTTTCGACAGTAGAACTCCTTTCCTCTTACTTGCTTCCCTGATAGCTATAATCTTCAAATATTCAAATGCAATGTCAAGCGACATCTTCTGATGCCTTCATCTTGATCCCTGCCCTTCTCTTTATCCTTTTCCCAAACACCCCCCTCTTTACACTTACTCTCACTCTCTGTAACTCCTTGCGTGCTAGTGGGACTCCCGCCTTGCTTGGGTTGATCTGCTTAAAAAAATACATATATCTGTTGCTGTTCCTGCTTCTTATACTCTGCGCGAAACATCATTTTCAACCGAATGCAGTACTGACTGTTCGGACAATGAATGCCCAATGTTTCTTTGTAGGGAAATCGCTAATATTATCATTGATATATTCTTTTAATTGGAGCCTAGTAATGTGAGTATTTGACTTACGGCCATATCACGTTGAAACGCCGGTTCTCGTACGATCACCGAAGTTAAGCAACGTCGAGCCTGGTCAGTACTTAGATGAGTGACCGCTTGGGAATATCAGGTGCTGTAAGCTTGAATGTACGGGTGGAGTAATGGAGAAATCGGAGAGCCGAGTTCGAATTCCAGTCGGGTTTGTTATATATACTTACGCGCAAATGCCCTTGGGCGATCATGAATCGAAAAGAGACATGATCGCCCAAGCGTTTCAAATCTGCCCCTACCAACACGCACTGGGTTGGCGTGGTAGGGTAACAGCCCATTCCTTCCCATGAATCTGTAGAAGGCCTACGTCCAGCAAAAGACATTCGCAGTCCAAGAAGAAATTTAAGGTATTTGTCTAGTCGGCGTATGGGGGGACTGTCTCTTGGAGTCATTTTCTGCCACTTTGAGAAAGCAAGTTTACTTTTTTAACGCTTATTTTATGTTTATTTTAATTGTTTTTATCCATTTATATTTAATAATGTAATTAAAACTAGTGACGATATATGAATCGCTTGTATTGACAATAAATTATTGCAGTTCATTTTTCTTTTCTATTTCATCATCTCTTGAAGATTTTCACAGATCATTTATTTCGTCTTCGAGAAAATCTCCTTGAATCTGAATCCTGTGATCCACGGAAGGATGAGATGAAAAAAAAAAAAAAATCAAACAAGAAGGATAAACGCCTCGTCGCAAGTCCGAAGAGAGAGAGAGAGAGAGTTCAGTCAGCTCTACTATTTAACCCAGAGCTGGGGCGAGAAGATATGAACCTTTCCCAAATGTATCTGTGTGAAAGTGAACGTAACGAATTGGGCTGGAATTCGAAATCGAGTCGCCGGTTTCTCTTTCCGAGTCGCTAACCGTTGCACTAACCATTCATCTAAAAATGAAGAAAAAGAAAAATGGCCTTCCGTTTTTCATCATCTAAAACCTGTTCACAAATTAATGTTTTTTTCCTTCTTTTATCAATAACATTTCAAGTTATTTACAATCTCTTGTCACAACGAGAAAAGACACATGGTACCTTCAGACATGACAACATTTATTTTTTTTAGTTTTCTAAATTTAAAGCGATCATTCTTTGCATGTTTGTTTATTTAGCGGCATATCAACTCATTATGGGTCATTTAATACCAAAGTTTAATTTTCTTGGGAAAATTACTAATTTCATTATCAAAAATGTATTACTGGCGATTATTTTTTTTTAACAAAAAATGCATCGGTGGTATTTTTTTGTTTTTTACTGTTAAAATCTATTGCTGGTAATTTTTAACTATGAAAATGTATTGCAGGTATTTTTACTATAAAAATGTTTATACTTTCATAGTGTTTTGACCCCAGTTTGGAGGCTAACTATTTGCCCATAGGTGAGATCGTAACAGGTGCTATCACCCCATTTCAGAATGGACCTGGATATAACATCAATTCAGAGGTGGTTCCACGCTCTTCAAAATATCCCGGTCAGAGGCCTTGCTGCCGGATGTAGTTTATCGTCATACCTAGGACTGAAAGCGATCATTAAGCGTCCTCACCATTATTTAAGAACATTATTATTTTATCAAACACGCTTAACCATAAGGCAGTATATTTTCATTTTCTTAAAACGTCTGTCTGTAGTTCCTGTTTCAATTTTTGGGAAGAAGGTGTATTGCCAGTGGACGTTATTGTCAGGATTTATTAACTTGAAATGAAGACTTGTTTACATTTTCAAATCAATATCTTTTGGTATAGAGCACGCATTTTTTTATTTGGTTGTCTTTTATTCTTTGTTGCAGAACCAAAGAGACCCAGACCAAAGTCGATCGCTATAGTAACGTCCCAAAACCCCAGGTGTTCATTGCTGGTCTTCGTGGATGCAGAACAGGAGAGCCAACAGCTATAACCAAAATGGACCTTACACTCGATGTAGATTAAAATGCCACACGAGAAGATGTTTGATTTTAACGCTGTTTTAGATCATTTTAAAATCTATTATCAATTTTTTTCTTCATTTCTTAATTCTTTTTGCCATTTATCCAGCTGTAGTCCTATTTTTTTTTATTTCCTCATTAATGTACACGAGGAAGTTGATAATAAATAAAAATTAATAAGAAGAGTGTAGTTTCTTTTTATCATCACATTCAAGTATCTTTATAGATATTGACTTTGCTAGATATGAAAAGAGTCTGTAGGTTTACGCATAATTAGAAGGATCTGTCCAATTATCTGTATCAACTCATTTACTTAAAAATAAATCTAAAAAGTGATGGATAAAATAAGATATTGCTGTTATCTTTAAAATAAAAATTGCACTAAATTGGATCCTATTCAAGTTTGTTTGAAAGGTGCCAATCAAAACGATAAATTTTATTTATTTTTCTGAATTATTGTTTCTCCCATTAAATGTTCAAGAACCACTCAAGATAGATTGCTGCTGAATGAGATTGTTGTAATAGCGTGAAGGTGAAGATGGTAATGACTGCATTAAATGAAGTGGATATTAATTCAGTTTTGTATGAAAGGTTCCGATCAAAATGGTATTCTTCTTTCTTCACTTTTAGTTCTACACCCATCATAAATATCGAAAATTTTGTTTTTGCAGCTGCCATATGAAGCGATTGACAATTAATATGAATTCATTAAGAATTAATTTATTTTTAGAAGGAAATTTCTTGTTTGAAACAATTGAAGCTAATGGAAAATTCCAGCTGAAAAGTGTACTAAATTGAACGAATCAATTATCTTAGATAACACTTAGAAGGAAATAGGATTATATGAGACTCATCAAATCCATCATCAACTGTTATATATTAATCAGTTCTGACTAGTGTCCTTATCTTAAATGTTAGATTCACTACCTTGAGTGTCTCTTGGGCTTTGTACTAGGTAAACATTTAGCTTCACAAAAAAAGAAAAGAAAAAGATATTGATTGATCCTTGACTCGAAGAGATTGTTTGTAGCGTTCAAGGAAGAACATACATGGATGTATGCTGCATATAGTTTTTGGGAAATATCTGATTGAATGAAACTTTCTCCTCATATCCGGAATATACAGGAAATGGGGATGATCCGACTTCGTATCAGTATCATGGTGAGCTCTAGGAATAAAGGTCTGAACTGACAAAAATAGAATTTTATGAGGCTTATCAAATCCATCACCAACTATTATACATGAATCTATTCTGACTAGTGTTCTTGAATGTTAAAGTCATAAAGTTTCCGTTGTATCCTCCAGCCATCTTCAGATTTCTGTCATGTTTTATTCGGTTACCTGTGAATTTCGAACCGAATTCTTTTTCATCCTACAGGAACAGATTGTTCTCATCCCGATCCCTATGCTAAAGGTAATTTAGTATCCGTTCATTTTGTCTATTTTGTGTTACATTAGTTTAACCAATAGAAAACTTAGGAGCCATTCAAGCTAAAGGATTACTGAGTGAGATTATTGGAACGGCGTAAAGGAGGGGTTAGGAAGTAAGAAATGCCTATTATAAAGATATACGGGATATATATCGGTTGACCCTCAACTTGGAATGCTTAAAGTTGTAGTAGTCGGTGAAGTAACCACTTGGGAGTCTGTTTAACAAAGTAACAATTCTGGTGATCCATAATCCGATTGGAACTTGTTGGAGATGTGGGTTTGATTTGACACCATGAACATAATATGGCGGGTTTTCGATGCGATAGTCTAAACTTGTGGAAATAAGGAATGTAGCTCGTTTGAATAAACTAAGGAACAACAACAATAACAACAGCAACAACAACAACAATAATAATAATAGTTACAATAATCATGACTCGAATGACTTCTAGTCTTAATGTACATGATTTATTAAGCTCTTTATCTGTTCCATGACAGTGTGTAGTCGTGGGATCGTTGCGCACCTGAACACGTGACTAGTTCCCTACATATATCTAGATTCAAAGCCGGAGAGATTGTCTTAGGTAAGTAGACCTGGTGTATTCCTATCCCTCTCCAGGTCAACGGAGAGCCGAGTTCCAGTTCCAGTTGGGTTAGCTATATTCACTTAGGTGCAAATATCATTAAGAAAGGTATGAATCTGCCTCTTCCCCCATCTATAGGTTAATTAGTAAGACTTGTATCGCTAAATCATTATTATCTCAAAAAAATTCTTTCAATCTAAAAATATTTTCTGGCTTTAAATAACCTACAAAGCCGTAGAAAACGAATCAATCAAATCAAAATCAAATCTCTAGGTCAAACCACAGCCGTTGTCCTCCAACTTCGAGGTTTGCTTTGCCTACGGACACGTGGCCGTTGAATCCTAAGAGGAATCCTCCGCCTAGCTGTTGACTTTAATCTAGAAAGCCCTCCAACCAGCCATTGCCTGTACTTACTTCACTGGCTGCATAGATAGCTATGGAGTCTAGGCTATTGTGCTAGATGGCCACTGACCCTCCAAGAAGGTTCATCCGCCCTTTGACGTGTTTTATTTTTAATCCTCTACCCTTCTTAAAAGGAACCGGTTTAGTCGCTGATAACATGACCAACCGGCAGGTCATATTGAGTTACATGGAAGGTTGCTATGTTTCCCCAGGGTTCGTTGACTAATCCAAAAAGTGACTTGATCCCAAGAATTGTGATTTTAATAGCTGGACTTTTTAAAAAAAAAGTTGGAGAGTTGAGTTACTAAAGGGAATTAACTAAAAACTGAGATATCCAGAAACGGTATGGAATGTGGAATTAGAACAATCTACTCCCGTCTACTAAATAAAGGGTTCGGTTCGAAATTCCAACGTAAATCTCTTGAAGTAGGTCGGAGAGTACAACGGCGGAAACGTCGTGAATATGGCAATAAAGATGAGGACAACAGTCTGAACGATGTAAATAGTATAAATATCAGGATCTTTGTTTATCCTTTGAAGTAATTAGAGGGAGGTGATGAGATGGTAATAAGGGTAAAATAAAGAGAGATCAATTTCGGGAGCTTTGTTTATCACTCAAGCAGCCAGTAAAGTAATTACAGAATTACTGCGGATGGGGTGCAGGTTTTGTAAACAGTCCCCTCTCCGGTCGTCCTGCCAACATTGCGAAATAATTTCAGATTATCCTTCTTCTGCCAGTCAAGACAACATGGAGGAAGAACACTTATGTAGAAGTTTACTGTACAGTGATAATACACGCATCATTTTATAAAATACCTTTTAATTTTAATATGACATACATTTTGTTACAGTTCAGACCAGACACCAGGTTCGTCGACAGGGTGAAGCTTCTTCCAGTCAAACGCTTCGGCTACATCATTACCCACGAGTGAAAAATCAAGCAAGCGAAGTTGAGATGAGGCATAAGTGAAGGCAGAGGTGCACAGTTTAACGGGTGCCTTCTCAGTCCGTTCTTCGAGGTCCGCTTCGACTCTGTGTATATCTTTTCGGTGTACTGATCAGTTTTATACCTAGCATAGCTCTTTGTCCTGTTATCTTCGACTAAAAAAGCAATTCTTCTTCATTCAGCGTCTTCTCTTTGGACTGCTCGTGAAGCCTACTTCACGATACTGATAACCCATTGGTTGAAAATAAATGTCCCGAAATTTTTTTTTTTTTTTGACAGGTCCAGCTGTTGCATTTAATAAGATCTCGGCTGACTGATATCGCTACATTTTTAATTTCTTATAGTGGTAGTTTGTCAAGCAAACAGAAATTATTTTGGAGTCTCGTTGAAAATAACCACAAATATTATCACCACACCACTGTTCATTTCAGTGTGCGGTGACACACAGCCTAATAATAATGATAATAGCATAACTGAACAATATTTAATGTGTTGCTTCACCGCCGTAAATAATATTCGTTTTCAGAAGGGCGTTTTCTCTTTTCCATAAATAAGCTACTGTGGTCAATGGGTCATATTTGTCTTTTAAGTAAAACCGTGAATGATTAGTTTGACAAAGAGAGAGAGAGAGAGAGAGAGAGACAGATATAACTAAAGATGCATTTGAAGTGATGCGATTTTATACAACTATACCTCCATATAAGTATTAATATTGTTGTAACCTAGGGAAGGTTACTGAATAGAATAATCACACGAAGGTTGGTAATGAACGATAATACTTAGGACAATTGATTCGCCAGCGCGCGTAGAAGTAGTAGTCAACTGCTAGACTTGAGTCAAATAAATTCCACAATGAATCCCCAACTGCAGGATATCTACCAACCGCCCTACGCTGTCAGATGTGGCACAAGGCCGAATTTAATGTGGGGTATCCGAGGCCGTAGGCTCGGCCAAAAATTTCCCGTAGATCCCATATAAAACGGGATCGGGTAGCTGTTTCCCGAGACGAGACTCTGACCTTCAACATAGCCTCGTCTGGGGATCCTCTCTGTCCAGAGGCAGAGAGTTTGACCAACACAGTTGGAGACGGATCTCCAACTGCATTCCAACCTATTTACTACTGCATTTATGTGAATGGGGACATACCCATTATCGCCCGTAGGTATGCTACAACATGGCACTCTACAACTTCCTGTTTTTTGTTGCTTTAAGTAACTTTTGACACTTTACCGTTCCTCTATATCCTCATTCTGCCATCTATTCACAAAAACCCCGTCAAGTAGTTTACCTGCTGTTTCACCTTGCTTCACTTGATTCCAGTATATCATGTGAATACTAAATTCTCCAAGCCAAAGACGCTATAGAGAATATAGTGTTTCAGGAATTTTACTAGCAGCAGTATGCTTGTAGTTGCTATATTCGTTAAAAATTCCTTGCTACTCACATGTTCTGTCCATGGTATTCTCAGAATACGACTGGAGTGTAGGGACTTTATCCTTAATTTAGGTACCGTCACAAATTCGCGATACCTAAGGTTTAAAATGAATTTTTTAAAAATGAAAAATCTTACTTGAAGCTTTTATTTTAATTATAACTAGCAGTAGAGCCTGGCGTTGCCCGGGGATGTAACAGTAAGACATA